CTTGTTGTATAGTCCGTATTACAAAGCATTTTTTTTTTTAAAATTCTGCTCTTTAAAAACTGAATTTCCTAACAAACAACTTTATTAATTCTAGAAGCATTGTGAGATGCAACTTGTATCCATGTTTTAAATCACGTTTTTTTTACTAATGTTTATTTGATCTTACTATTACTATATAGTTTGAGTTTTTCCTTATTGTTTGAATGTTCACTATTTTCATTTCAGGTTTTTCTTTTCATCAATTAGTGATTCTATCGTAACTTATGACATTTTTTACTTCTCTTTACCTTAATTAAACCCCAACCTCCGTCATATTTTTGTTGTCAATGTCACAACAAGTCATAAGGGGTCATCCATAAATGACGTCACACTCGTAGGGGGAGGGGGGTCCGTAATTTTGTGACGATGTGGGGGGAGGGGGGGGGGGGGGTTCAGATGTTGCGACGTCACATTTTTGCATTATAAAAAAAGCAATGTTAGAAAACGAATTGTAGACGTTATTTCGCGTTTTAGATAACTGTTTTAATAAATTGTAATAGTTTAGACAAGATTTTGGAAAAATATCGATGTTTAAAAAAAATTCAACTGCAATTTTGAGGGGGGTTTTAGGTTGAGGTGTGACGTCATTTTAGGGGGGGGGGGGTCTGGCTTTTTGTGACGATGAGTGACGGAGGGGAGGGGGGAGGTAAAAATCGTCAAAAAAAGCGTGACGTCATTTATGGATGACCCCTAATGTAAAAAATTACGCTTCGCTCTGTCTTATCTAAGATCTCTAGCCATAATTTTGACAACAATAAATGTTTGTCATCATTTATATATACAGAGAGACAAAATGTATTATCCACCAGCTTCCCTCTTTAAACATCATCTAAAATAATCAGCCACTCCATCCCTTAAGTGCGTGTTGTCATTATGGTCGATCGCAAGTCTCCACCTGCCAGACACATTTTGGTTATCCTTTGTTGTCAAAATGTCAATATCAAGTACCCAAGTGAGTGATATGGGATTGTCCATAAATGATGTCACATATTATTTGCTACGGGAGTCAGTGAAGATTTGTGACGTCAACTCAGGCGGCTCCGCAATTTATGACGTGTCGGTCTCATGAAAGGAGGTGAACGGGGAAAAATACCTAGGTGGTTGATGGAGAACCTCTATAATGCTTTGTTCAATCAAAATAACGATAAATAAGCATTGGTATACGTATACCTTGCTTAAAACGAATCATCACAAATGTTGCAAGCCTGCTAGTTTAAGACATTTGGCAAAACGGCCTTAACTTAACACATTATCCCCGTCAAAAAGGCTTGCCACCAAATGCCTGCCAACGAATAAGCCGCGTCTAATGCGGGGAGTTAGGAATACGGCCATTAGCATGGGCCGCGTTAGAGCACCAGTAGGCTATCGCGCTTTGTAAGATAACGTAAATACTTAAATTCAATTTCGCTAAACTGCGCGAAAATTTAGTGATGTTCCATCGTTTGAGGAAATTTATTTTCTTCGACTTAAATTGAAATATCATGTTGACTGTCTGGCTCTTAATCTCCGAATATCACTTTTAATGTATCAAGATTCAGAACTATAATTTACTTTAATATAAGTGTCATTTTATCGTTTATTGTGCTTTTTATAAAGCTCAGAGCAGCTTCAAAATCGGACGGCCATCCTGTTTTCACCAAGCTTCTTTTGGAGCTTAATATGGGTAGTCTAGTTCTATACAGTGAGAGCTTAATACCTTTTTAAAGGGCCGAATGTCTCGAGACAGCAAGCTTGCAGAAATAACTACGTACGTTTAAATGGACGAGTGATAGGTGTGTTAGGGGTATAAGCGTCAAAAAGGCAGTGCTTGTTGTTGTTTTTTTTTATATATAAAATTAGCCTAACGGTCGGCGGTACCGGTACATGACGTCACGTGCGAGCGTTAACTCGGTGACGATGTACTAAATGGGGGAATGAAAAAGGTGGGGTTCAAGAAATGCGACTCAGCAAGCTTTTTACATTTCTCGACCCTTCTTAATAGTTCTATCGTCCCCACTGAGAAAATGGAGCACCAATGAATGACGCGTCATACTTCTACAGCTGGTCTTTCTCCCACAACCATCACCTGTTTTCACGGAAAAAAAAACCTGACCCGTCTCCAAAATCACATCGCTGAGTTCTACTCAACCTTTCCCCATAATAAATCACAATTTCTATCTGAAACAATATGTCCATATGTTTGTTCTGTAATAATGGACGCTGTCATTACTATCTTAAGAGCGACGTCATTTATGAGCGATCTCTTATTGATTTGATTACTGCAAATAAAGTGTTCAAAAGTTCGACCTCCCAACAATTGTTGTGGTCTTGGATGCACACTATTAAGTCTGAAAAGGTCTATTAGTCATTCATGTCAACTATATTGAAAAAAAAATTACTATACAGGGGGGTCATCCATAAATGACGTCACCCTTTTTTGACAATTTTTACTTTCCCCCCCCCCCCTCCCCTCCGTCACACGTCGTCACAAAAAGCCAGACCCCCCCCCTAAAATGTCGTCACACCTCAGCCTACAACCTCCCTCAAAATTGCAGTTGAATTTTTTTTTAAACAGCTATATTTTTCCAAACTCTTGTCTGAACTCTGTCAAAATAGAGTATTTTAATCAATTGTTACTATTATTTTATTAAAACAGTTTTCTAAAACGCAAAATAACTCTAAAATTCGTTTTCTAACATTGCTTTTTTATAATGCAAAAGTGTGACGTGGCACCAACTGAAACCCCCCCCCCCCTCATCACACACCGTCACAAAATTACGGACCCCCTTCCCCCCTACGAGTGTGACGTCATTTATGGACGACCCCCAGGCATATATTAAAACAATATAAAACAATCATATTAAACCACAAAATCAACACAAAACACATGCGAATAGACAATTTTTCAAGGGAAACTACTCTATTATTGTTTTTGAAACATGGCCGCTGCTTAAAATTTACTCTTTGTTGTCTCGAACGTGGTAGTTTAAAGTTTATTCCAGGATATTTATGACTGGTTTGGTCTTGGATTGTGATTTGTTATTCAATTATCTGTTCAATTATGTAAAATATGACATAAATATGGCCAAATGAAAGAAATATTCATTAGTTACCTTCATCGCTCATTACTAAGATCTAGCTATGTTGGAATTTACGACGCTAAACTAAGATTTTACCGAGTCTAGACTACTCTAGACTAGAGTCTTTATTAATATATTATATATCAACTGTATCAATTATTGGGGCTATTTTTGTTAACTCAATAAAGAGTAAAGACTGCATTATCTAATCTAGTCTACTAAAGTCTAAAAATATTTAGATCTAGACTCTAGATCTAGAATCTAGATCTCTACTTCTACTGTAAATCAAGGCCAAAGGGCATTAATCCTTGAAATTTTAAAGCGTTCTATTAATAGAAGACCTAACCGCTAACCTACACTACACAATGTCAACATAACTTTCACAATCGAGCACTTAACCATGAGTTATAAAATTTAAGTTTGGTACCACTTGGTCTTAAAAAGCTTGTATGAAACTTATTTGAAAATCTACCTGTTTGTAAATAGCTGCTAGACGTCTAGAAGCTGTCAAATTAGATGAAACAGTAGGCCTAATGCAGAAAGTTACTCTAAACAACGTAGCAGTCGGTAACATGTTGCCAGATTTTTTAAGGGCAGTGTAAATGGTTTATTTAATAAACCCTCAAATTAACATTGGAATCTAGAATAGATCTATGACAATTTTAGGTGATAAGGAAGTTGTAAATAACACACACAAAAGGAAAAAACCCACAAAAATCTCTAAAAATTCACGATTTTGTCTAAAATTGTATTAAAAAGTTAGATCTACATCAAAAAAGCTCAAAATCAACAATAAGTAATTAACCAATAAAATGAACTCTGTTCGTCAGAATAGCGTAGAAAAGTAAGGAGTAGGCCTATACGTATCCATGATTTTCGTGTGTAAAACTACACATTTCAATAATACATAGATCTAACTGATTGTAGTCTTTATTAGCAATGTTAAGTGCAAAATTTGAATGAAATATCTGAAGTAGTTTTTGAGATTTGTATTGAAAAAAAAAACGATATAGTGAAAACGATGAAAAAAAAAAAAATTTTTAAACATATATCTAGATCTACCAGTTATATAAGTTGACATGGAACTTCTTACTTAGCAGTTAGAATAGATTTTAAGCTCTTTTGTATTTTTTAAGTAGCTTATGTATGCTAAATAAATTAAATACGTTCATATATCATTAACTTCTAATAAATAAGCCGTCAAAATTGTCATTGCGTGGATGGCGCCCCCCGAAAAAGTCTACCGCCCCCGAACGAAATGGAATTTATATAGAAAGCATATACTTTTACCAGTGTTCGCGCCCCCCCCCCCCCGAAAAATGTTGTCGCCCCCCCCCCCCCACCTCAGCCTACAACCCCCCCCCCCCTCTAAATTGCAGTTGAATTTTTCTTAAAACATCGATATTTTTCCAAAATCTTGTCTGAACTGTCAAAATAGAGTATTTTAATCAATTCCTATGGCAATTTATTAAAACAGTTTTATAAAACGCGAAATAACGTCTAAAATTCGTTTTCTTCAATTGCTTTTTATAATGCAAAAGTGTGACGTCGCACCATCTGACCCCCCCCCCCTCCCCCTCGTCACACACCGTCACAAAATTACGGACCCCCCTCCCCCTTGTGAGTGTGACGTCATTTATGGACGCCCCTAAGTGTTGTTTTCGAATTTTAAATCTCAGTGTTGTTTTAGAATTCTAAATTGTTAATACTTTTTTTTCCTTCATCAATAATCTTTGTGACCATGTCTTGCGATTTAAAAATTATAATTATGCATACGTGAAATTGGCTTTTGGGCGTGTGTTTTGATGCACACAAACACACACGAACGCGCGCGCGCACACACAAACACACACATACACACACGCACAATACAAACACGAACTCAATCTTAAGCTTGATGGTAAGTAAGCTTTTAATGAATGCAGTATTTCCTGTTCAGTTTGAACGATCGGGTGACGAACGCATCCACGAAAAAATCGTTGAGGTGGAGGGTCTTGTTGCTGAGGAAGTCATACGGGTCTTTGTTGCAGATCCGCAGAGACAGATAGAAGATACAAAACTGACCGCACGTCCAGGACTCAGGGGGCTGGAACGGCTCGACGTTCCGGCGCCATTTCCGGCTGTGTTTGTTCAAGAAGTAGACAAATTCCAGCCGCGGTTTCTGCCCGGCCGGGTCAAAGTACTCCGCTGGGCCGGTGAGTGGGAAGAACGCGCAGACCCAGTGTTCTCCGGGTAGCGTCGATGTGTTGAAGATGAACGCTTTTGGTCTCTGGAAAGCCGGGACTCTGGGTAGCTCGTCTAGCATGTACACGCCGCCAAAGGCTCGCTTTAGAATGGCGTCGCTGTTCATTGCTTTCTCTATCAAGAAGGAGTTCATCTTTAGTAAATTACTTTAGGTCCGTGGGGTGATTTTTAGGGTTTACGTTCAAATATAATCCACCCCAGGAAAGGATAACTCAGGTGAGAATAACGACGACGATGTTCAACAAAGGTGGCATAGATGATAAAGCTCGATGGCAATATAGGTAAAAAAAAAAATAACCACCTATAAAAAAAAATAACAATTTAGTTAGAATGTTTACAAGGTTATTTTTATACGTTTTATTTTATACGTTTCTTCTTCCTTCTTGATGGTAGTTTTGTAATGTTGAACGGGATTTTCTACAACCTCTGTGAGGCGCTAAAAAGGCCGTTGATTCCGATTTAAACCTGCTTTTCTTTTTTTTTTTTTATGTCGGGGTTTGCTTCCATAGTCCTTGTTTATCCAAGAACAAACTAGATTTACGAGGCAACAGTTGTTTCATTTTGTAGCTTTACCGACCCTACCACTGTTGAAATATCGGTATTGTTGGCCAGCTGAGCCGGCTAGTATCCATGTATCTGGGTGGCCTATGTTCATCCTATGTTGAGCACATCATGCTAAAAAATAAACTTTTGCCAACGTTATTAGGCTAATTATATTACCCGCACCATCGTTAGTGTATTCTAGTACACATGCATATCTCAGGGGTAGGTAGGTAAACAACTGCTATATCCCCGGACCCCCCCCCCCCTCCTGATGAAATAGAAAATCATTAACCCCCCCCCTCCCCCCGAGCAAAAGAAATGTATTATCTTTTTGTCTTTTACGATATAACGACCTTGTATGTATGGTAGCACAATTATTTTAACAGGCCTACTAACTACTAGCTGTAACAAGTAACTACCTCACCTCGTCTTCTACACCTCTACGACAAAATGATCTATCTATGCTAATTAGATTCGGTAGGCTACAATGATTTGCCTAGTTATGCACAATCTAAAACCAAAATTTGTAGGCCAATTAATCGTTGATTACATTCTGTTCATTTTGTATAAGTCATTTCATGTTCATTATGAATATGGTGAACGGAAGTTAATGTTTTTTAACCCGACCCCTATGAAAAGCTTCTCACAAATTTAACTCCGTTCACTTAAGCGCTGTTCGTCTCAAGTGAACTATAAATAGGCTACATTTTACAAATATTTTTACTTCCTCTTATATACGAAGTATAGAGAAAGTATTGTAATCGTGCACAAAAATCACTTGAAATTTTAACAATTTTCACCGTATTACACCTCAGTCCTTCTTCACATCCGAAGTATAGAGGACTTATTTTAATCGGGCAAAAATTATCAATCCAGATTTATCAAAATTAAAAGGTTTTATGCGTAATCCAGTCTGAAAAACTGGGCTTTGCAATTCTGTCCGTATGTCTGTGTGTGTGTCTGTGTGTGTGTGTGTCTGTGTGTAAACACGATTACTTGAGTACCGTTACAGCTAGTTTGATGAAATTTCATATATAAGTATTTTATCAAAATCGCAGATCCGTATCAACTTTTGAGCGATTTCCGATAACCGGAAGTGGTACTTTTTCTACTTTGAATTTTTCAAAAGCCTATAACTTGAGTACTATTTCAGATAGATAAATGAAGTTTCACATGTGAGTAAAAGATCTAATTTTCTACCTTCTGTTAAATTTTGAGTAATTTCCGTTGACCGGAAGTAGTAATTTACGTTACTTCCGATTTCTCAAAAAACTAATGTAAATTTTTTTAAGTACTAATAATATTGCGCACTAGTATGCACTTTTTTTTTATTTGGCGTTCACTTGGTGTGCAATTCTTTTGTCTACGAGATTTTATTCTATTTTTAAAACTTTAAGTATTTAAAATGGATTAAAAATCATGTCTATAGCCCGAGTTCCCATCCCCTGTTGTTTTATATAAGAATATTCGAGAAAGTTTAGGGGAGATCACTCCCGGTTTATTTTTTCTTAAAAACCTTTCTAATAATAAGCTTTTAAATGCATTGAAAATTTTAAAAAAAATTGTTTTCTTTAACCAAAACATTGAAAGCTGTAATGTCTTTGAGATTTAATGAGATTTAATTTAAGTCATGTTTATGTTAATTTGTACGGGGCATAGATAGTTTTATTTAACTGCTCTAGATAAAAAAAAGGCCCCACCTTTACGGCTCTTGACTAGATCTCATGTCTAAAAACCATTTTAATCAGTGTTTCTTTCAGACATTTTTCTGTCCGGAGATTGGAAGCGGAGGGGGGGGGGGGGGGTAAACACTGGTGAAAGTATGTATTTACTATTCTATTTCGTTAGGGGGGGGGGGCAGTGTTTCTTCCAGACTTTCTATATAAAGTTCCATTTCGTTCGGGGGGGGGGGGGGGGGGGGGGGTGGGCGGTAGACTTATTCGTGGGGGGGGGGCAGAGGTCCCCCGAAGGGAAACTGATAGCGACGTCTATTGTATGGGGTCTACAAACCAGTGTTAACATTATACAAACCGAGGTAAAGATAGCGGGTAGCTGAGTGGATGGTAGGACTACCAGTGTTTCTTCCAGACTTTTTTCTCCGGGGGTGCACTTGAAATTTTCGGGGGGGGGGGGGGGCGGACAACAATTTTTTTTTGGGGGGGGGCGGCGGACACTGTCAAAAGTATATATTTTCTATATAAATTCCATTTCGTTCGGGGGGGGGGGGGGCGGTAGACTTTCTTCGGAGTGGGGGGGGGGGGACACTGTTAAAAGTATATATTTTCTATATAAATTTTATAAATTTCATTTCGTTCGGAGGTGGGGGGGGGCGGTAGAATTTGCCCCCCCCCCCCCCCCCCGAAGAGATGCCTAGAAGAAACTCTGAGGACCACGTATAGGGTTTTTAAAAAAAAGGTAAATAATCGTAAACCCACTAGGATGCAGTAAACATTTATGGCAACGTTACGACACGCATCCAAGTCCTTGAGATAAAAATTGTGAATTAAAGATCATGTAATTGTAATAGTTCTGCGTGTTAGCTGATAACTAGTGATAACCGGGGAAGATAACTGTAAACTACACTCTCATTGTACACAGCACTCCACTGTTCTAGTTGTGTCTGCTGTAGAGCCTCAGTTGTAAGGTCAGGGGTCAGATATTGGCGTAAATTGTAAGGTCAGGGGGGGGGGGGGTCAGATATTGGCGTACATTGTTATGACAAGGGGTCAGAAATTTGCGTAGATTGTAAGGTTAGGGGGTCAGATATTGGTTTAAATAGTATAATCAGTGGATCAGATATTTGTGTAGATTTTATGGTCTAGGGGTCAGAAATTGGCGTAGTTTGTAAGGTCAGGTGGTCAGATATTGGCTTAAGTTGTAAGGTCAGGGATCAGATATTGGCTTAGATTGTATGGTCAATGGGTCAAATATTGGCGCAGATTATATGGCCAGGAGCAGAAAGTGTCATGTCACACTTAAGGGCTTAAAAAGTAATGTTTAGCCGAAAGTAGTCAGTTATTCCACATTAAAAAAAAAAAAAAACAACAACAACGTAAGCCTAATAAAGTATATTAATAGACCTGTGGTGGTGTAGTGTAGTCTTTGACCAATAGCCCAAATCTTGTTTTTTATTTTTATGTTTTATAACATATTTTGAAGTCGTAAATAATAATACAGTTGCAAATATATGTAACATAAGGTGAAACTATTTTTAATGGGGGGGGGGGTGTATATAACCCCTAACAACCACAGACAGGCTACGCCACTGTCGTTCAACTAAGACCTTAATGTACTTTGCCCTTACTGCCGATGTCAGAAACTGTAACGAAAGAGCACAATCGACACTCTTGAACATAAGAAATGTACTTTAGTCTGGGTAAAACAAAATGGCTGCAACTACAGTAAATCCTGATCTTGCTAGAGCTAGAGCTCAAGCGACGTTTGACCCGTTGCAGTTAACACATTTTATTTACGATGGTCCAGAGAAAACAAATCGCAAACGCTACTTACGTAAGTTTTTTTTGACATAAAACCTGGATTATATGTATGGCAAAATACTTTAGAATAGGCCCTACCAATAGACTTGACTCAAGTTTCAATGACTAGAGTAACTAGGCCTATTGGGAAATTTTTCCTAATTATCATAGAATGATAAAATGGACCCAGATTAATCCTATAATATACCCCATTGATAAAAATATCAAATTTATCATTCTAGGCCTAATCGTTTTTTTTATATGAATTTTCAAAGTTATGTGTTTAACTTGTTATGTTTCATTGTAACCTGCATTCCAGACGTGTGATTGGCTTTAAACTTGCATACCAATGTTGCTATTAAAGATATAATGATAAAACTTTGCACATTTGTACTCAATGATATAGGCAATAGAAGTCTACAAATAAAATAAAAATTAGAAAAGAGGTAACTAGAAATAATGAAGTTAAATTAAGGGGTGTGGCACTGTTATATAGCGACTGCCATAAGAGGATTTCCAGACTGCACAGCTAGGTTGCTATTCCATATACCATCATGAAACTTTATATTTTAGGACTAGAGCATGTAAAAAATACAATCATGCAAGTAAAATAAACATAGCTAGAGGAAAACTATAAATAGTGAACTTGAATATGGTACAGCGCAATTAGACTATGATGATTAACTACAGGCTAATATGTTGCACTTCTTTGTTGCTACTATAAAAATAAAGATTAAACTCTACATATTGATTCTGGTGTTAGTAATAAGTATGCTAGTATACATATTGTACAGGTAATGTATAGTATAGAGTTAGAACTTACAAGTCAAATACAGCACAATATGATCAAGATACTTAACGATTTGCCATAAACATTGGATTTGTGTCCGTGTATAACATGGTTAAAAATGTTATTATTAATTTAGAAAATGTTGGTTCTTGTAATGTTTCTGATGAAAAGTGTTGAGGTGTGCTAAAACTCAAAGATTGACATTTCACAGTATTCTTATTTATAAAATGTTTAGTGAAGTTGACGTATCCTTTGATAAATTCTTAAATGACATTAATTAAAGTGTTCATGTTTTCTTTCTATTATAGTTGCCTATAACTAAAACTGTAATGCAGTGCAGCTTATAAAATTGGGCATTATTATTTTTAATTTAGGCCCTTTATAGTACTTTATAGATCTAGATACTACAGATAGGCCTGTCAGTATTTACATTAAGGCCTATTAGTTTATATATATATATATATATATATATATATATATATATAGGCCTATATATATATATATATATATATATATATATATATATATATATATATATATATATATATATATATATATAATTACACATCTCTAGACGCATTATTGTTTTAGTGTTTTCATTTCCATTTAGATCTAGATCTAATTCTATTTTTTTTAAACTGTCTACAATAAATATATATTTTTTCTACTTTAAAATGCCTTTATATTTATAATCTATTTATCTGCAATTCGTTAATGCTAGTTTGCTAGATCTAGTTTAAGTTAACCTGGTATTAAGAAGGTTAATAAAAATCTGGCTAATTTAAAATTTTATAATTTATTTAGGCAGCAATTAGGCCTAATTACATTTTTTCCATTTTTAATCTAATAATTTAGATCTACAGTATATTTATTTTAAAGCCCATTTTATTGTAACAGTCCATTTAAAAACAAACAGCTATTAAAAAACATCGTATGCGCATATCTATTAATATCTCGTAACCCGGCCGCCATTTTGAAATTACGCACGCTTTCTCGTTCCTACCCCTACGAGTTTTATCGCGCTACTCCTCACTGGCCCGTGCTTAAACACCCTTCAAATCGACATTTCTATTTATCCAAATGGTTGGCATGCTATTTAAGCCTATTTTCATGCAACTTAAAGGATTATTTATATGTGAAATTTAGTTGTCAATGCGACAGTTCGGTAGCGTCGGCATTTCGACAAATATTTGCTATTATCGGTGATCGCTTTCGGTATCGGACAATGTAAAACGGGAGCTAATTCATTTATTAGTATGTATAAAAGATGAAATTCAACTCAAATATTCACATCGAATACATTTTATTCTTCGATTCCGATGGCGAGAATTAACATGTTAAAAAATGGCGAATTTCAACAAGTACGATGAAAAAGTCAGGATGTGGTCGTACCGAATCGAAACAGCGGAAGTCGAAATGCCTAACTAGAGTAGTAGTACTAAATCTAGATCTAGTGAACTCAACTCAGAATCTGATCTCAAAGACAAATTCTAACAAATTTACTTAATTTTAGATCTAAATCTAGACTAGATCTAGTAAATTACTTAGGCTAATCTAGGCCAGAGGATACAGAGTCAGATACACTAAAAACAATTTTTTTAGGCCAGAAAAATAAAATAGCTTAAAAATACAAATAAGCCGATACATCTTAGATTCTAGATCTAGAATGTAGGTCGATCTAGATCTATTCTATACCGTAGTGAGTAGTATCATCTTATAGCTGCACAATGTGATCAAATCACACTTTTAGCTTTATGACCTCCAGAAATATACCAGCGGGAGTTTGAACTCCTGTCATGACCCCCAGAACTATACCAGTGTCAGCTTCAACCAAGTTGGAAAGATATGCGTGGGTAAGGGTGAAATAAAAGCTAACACCCTCGTCCTCCAGGTTTAGGGTTGAATGTAACGTCATCAACATTATATCATAAAAAAACAACACACTTCAGAAACTCAAAGAGAATTTCTGTAGCTGAATTTTGTGCTGGATTTACTATGGTAGTGAATTGGTAGGCCTATAGGCATACACATTTTATATCAAAATATATTGGGGACATAGATGAGTGTCACTTCAAAACTATTGGGAAATATAACAGGCTTCTTGATGTTTCGTTTTTACAAATCTTAAACACTTATAATGTCGTACCACAATGAAAACATTATAAAAAAGCAGTTTCAAACAATATATTTCTCTCCAGAAAACATTGCTATCAAGGAAAGTGAAGAACAAGGATTCAGGCGCAATGCAGAGCTGAGTAGAGAGGAACAGTATGAAGAGGCCTTACGTAAATCCACATATGCTTACCGCAGAACTGCAGAGCTAGGATTGAAAGATATGACAGATATATATATATTCAGGGAGTAAGTTTCATAATTTATTGCAAGTATCGTCTCACAGTCCTTTGGGCAGATGGAGTAGAGTTTATCAGTTAATAGAACTCTGCATAGTGCATGTGAATGGTCAGTATGGTCAGCACTACGCCCAGTCACATTAGTATGTGTGAGAGCCTGGTGGTAATCTTCTGGCTCCAGATCTAGTGATTACATATTTATCTGAATAATTTTATTTTGAATCTTTGCTAAGATATTTATTAAGTATGGACTAAAAAAATTTCAGTAGGACGTCCTTGAGTCCACTGAGCTCTGATGGGTATTTAACTCTAATTAGGGAAAGTAAAAGCAGCTGGGCTTAGTGCTGACCATACCATCCCTTTACATAGTAAAGTTCCCTATCAAAACTGATGGTCTACGGGGCAAGTGAAGTAGAGTTCACTTGTTTCTGTGACCTCGGCATATGAAGGGATAGTGTGGTCAACACTATGCCCAGCTGCCTTAACTTACCCTAACGTGAGTTAGGTACCCATCAGAGTTGGGTGGACTCAGGAACTGTGTACTAACTTGAACCTGAATTCGAACTCTAACGGGTTAGCAATCCAGCTCTCTACCACCAGGCCCTCCTCCCATATCCCTTTACATGCCAGTCATAAAAACAGGTGAACTCTACTTCACTTGTCACACTGATCATCAGGTTTGAAAAGGGAACTTTACCTTTCATTAAAAAATTGAAATTCTAATGCTTTTAATATTGTTTATTTGTTAATTTGCTCTTTTTTTTGTGTTCTATGATATTGTAGTTACATTTGAAGCTTCATTATTGCTTTTGTACTAATGTGTTAAAATATATTGCTATGTTGCTGCTTAAATTTGAAGCAACCATTTTCTATAGTAGGCTGATGAAATGTTGTTTTCATCAGTCATCTCTACATTGGGCAAATCAAATGTTATGTTTTCATCAGTCATCTCTACATTGGGCAAATGAAATGTTATGTTTTCATCAGTCATCTCTACATTGGGCAAATCACATGTTCTATTGTCATCAGTCATCTCTACATTGGGCAAATCAAATGTTATGTTTTCATCAGTCATCTCTACAAGGCCTATCAGATGTTGTTTTCATTAATCTCAATAATTTCACTGTGTTTTATAAGTAGTTTTAATGTTATCAGTTGTACCATCCTTATAAGTAGTTTACTAATAACATTGTTAAGTAACAATACACTTCTTTTATGTAACTGTAACAGTACTAGGCTTGATTGACATTTTTACCTGAAGGCTACTGGTAACCTAAGAAAATACACTTTTAACGCACATAAATTAAAAAAAAACTTGTTTACATTAAAACATTTATAACATCAAGATGTGTAGCGATATAAATTTAGATGGCGCAATGACTCAGTTGTTGTGTTGATAAATAGCATTTACTTTTGTTGTAAAAGTATTTCTGCTTTTTAATTTAGAAGACTATTTCATATGCTGGCACATGCTATGCTGGGAAGTGTAATTGGAAATAATGATTTAGTTTTGTGTTGAAAAGTTTAAATCTGAAAGGGATTGAGTAATGAAATATTTTTTTTTTAAAAAAGCTGCTTTAGCAAATATCTTTTTTTCTTTTTTTAATTAAAGAAATTGAGTTTGATAGGAAGAATATAAAGTATTAAAAAACCAGCAACTAGTTTTATGGTTCTTTGTTGTATTGACAAGTGGGGTAGCAGTAATAAAGCTGCCTCCCCAGACTTGTGGAGGAGTTGCTCATCAATGCCATTTCCTGCATTTGTACTAGTAACTTTACCTATACTTAGTTTGGTAAGGATAAACACCAAGAATAGATATGCTTCATCTCACCCCTTAGCTGTTCAATATCCATATTGATATCTATATTTTTACCATGCAAAAAAATAATAAATCATCTACATAGTAATGTATTTATACTTATTTGTATTTAATTATTTGTATTTGATAAGTTGATTTTTGGTGCTGGTTTCTTATTTTGCTCTCCTAATTTCATTTAACCTGCAACAGTATCACATTATAGTTATGTTTTTAACTGTTGTTGGCTTTCTCATGAGCTCTTAAAGCTGAATGTATATATTGTCCTTAATTTGATTGTATCACTACATTATATTCATATCTATGATGGTGATGAGTTGTATTGTCTTAGTTTTTTTAGTTTGTGTATTCTTGGTGTGGTAAGGAGTATGTTCAACAAGGAGATCTTTACGGCAGACATTTTGTTTTACAGAAGTATATTTGATGAGAGTCCGTTCGCTCTGCAATATGTTGCCTTTGAACCCACGGTGAAGAAGCTAGGTACCGAGGAGCAGAAAGCAAAATGGCTGCCTCTGATTCAGTCCTTCCAGGTTATAGGCACATATGCCCAAACTGAATTAGGTCATGGTAGGTCTCAGGGGAAAATACAATTTGTTCCATGTTTTTAACTATCTGTTTGGTTAGAAGTTTTAAAAAGAATAAAATTTGTTCCATGTTTTTAACAATCTGGTTGGTTAGAAGTTTTAAAAAGAATAAAATTTGTTCCATGTTTTTAACAATCTGGTTGGTTAGAAGTTTTTAAAAAAAAATAAAATTTGTTCCATGTTTTTAACAATCTGGTTGGTTAGAAGTTTTAAAACAAATACAATTTGTTCCATGTTTTTAACCGTCCGTTTGGTTAGAAGTTTTAAAAAAAAATTCCAGCTAAATATAATTTTTAAAGAGTTGACTGGGCACACTACTGACTTGGTTTTGTTTTAAGAGTGTTTGGTTCATGGTCGTACAATTCAGCAAAAGCCATGAGTCATCTATGTTATGATGTATATTTATATTCACACAACCTGTCAAATGTGTTCACAATTTTTGCAGCTGAAATGTGATATGCGCTTTAGTTTAAATTGTTAGGTGAAATGATTTTAATGTTGCCAAATATTAATATATTTTTTAAGTATCTCATACTGTTAAAAAATTATTTGATGAGAGTTACAATGATTATGAAGTGGTCTTTCACTTGGTCAACTGTAGATATTTATCTTGTAATTATGTCATTGTACAAATGTTTCAACCTGTTCAAGATTTTCAAGTGTGTTAACATCTAGAGTTACTGTTCCTACTTTTGACTTGTGTAGCCTGTGTCCAAAGGAAAATGAAACCAAATCTCAATGTTAATTGAAAGTACATTAACATTTTATTTCAATAATTTATTTTATTTCAATAATTTATTATTATTTCAGTGCATTCAATGTATGCCAAACTCACCTTTTTAATAATGTATAACATTGTAAATCACTTGTATCATTCATCACCTAACCCCATGCCAATCATCTTAATTATAAAATTATTTCTTGTAAGTTGTTGTTTTATTTTTTATTTTTCAAGCACCTGTAAAATGACATGTATCATTTTTGTTATTTTTATTATAATTTTGCCAACATAAATTTGTCAGACTAATTCTTTAGTTCCCATCTGAATGTAAAGCTTCACATTTTACATTAGATTGATGCAGTAGTATTTTAAAAAACCTGAGTTCAGTGAATGTTTGATCAAAGTGCTGTGATGATTACAATAATTCTAGCCAGATTTTTCTGAAATTTCAGACCACTTTTTCCTAGTGAGCCAAGCCCTCTTGGCCTGCATGAAAGTATGTTTTTAACAACAATCCAGAAACTAGGCACAACAGCTCAGAAAGAGAAATGGATTCCTCTAGCCAAATGTTTGGGTGTGGTGGGCACATATGCTCAGACTGAATTGGGGCATGGTAAGAAAAGTGGGATGCTTTTAGAGGTTTTTATCTTTTTTTGCATGTTCATTTCATTCAGTCAAGGACACCTTTTGATCTCAAAGTGTTTCCAGAAGTTAGAGCTAGATGTTGAAACTTGTAACTAGATCAACCATTGAGAGACTGATTCATAAAGGAACAGAGACAAAAAAACTGTTGAATATTTGAAATTTATTTTCATGTTACATATTTGTGTTGACCTAGACTCTAGGACACTATCTCCTGTTTGTTACCCCCCTGGTCAATACCCCCTCACTTAATACCCCTGTGGTCAATACACCTTCCCTACATACCCCCGTGGTCAATACCTCCTCCCTAAATACCCCCGTGGTCAATACCTCCTCCCTCAATACCCCCTCTTTCAATATTCCCTGTAGTATATAAAACAGAGTAATCGGTAAAGTCAAAACTCCCTAGCAAACTTTCCTCTTGATTAGGATTATGTTTAATTGATTAATAATTAATATTAGTTTAAGGATCCATATGTAACTGGGGGGACGACAACATGTCCTACTAAAGTTTTTCTGGTGGCAACGGGGGGGGGGGGGGGGGGGTGTAATGTCTTGCTCTAAAATACCAGAGCTGCTAAACTATTATTGATGTAATGCATGAGTTATGATATCAGGTATGTGTGCTAAATCAGACAGGTAACTATGTCACTGTGTCAGTTAGGATACATTTTACCAGTTGTCATTTTGCTATTTGACATTTCTTACCATATCAGTCTAACCAACTTAACATAACCCTTAAAAAACTATTGCCAGCAAAGGTTTCTATACTAACACTGTAATTGTACATCACAAGGCCATGTTAAATACTTTTCTACCAGATCTTTTTACCTTTCATAAATCATAATTTTATATTTTCCTAAGTATTATTTACCACAATTTGATATTTTCCTAATTATTATATACCACAATTTTACACTTGGTTGTGTCCATGACATTTAGTGCCTGGTCAACTCTTATGTTATCAGATTGATTTTTTTTTTAATTTTTTTACCTGGGTTATGCTGTGGTTGCTTATATAAACTTGTACACAAACTTCTATTGTGCCATAAAACATGTTGGCTGTATTGTGTGGACAGGTACCTTCTTGCGGGGGCTGGAGACAACGGCCACCTATGATGCCAAGACCAGAGAGTTCGTCATCAACTCTCCAACCACCACATCAGCAAAGTTCTGGCCTGGGGGATGTAAGTACAAATGGTGGTTTGTTACTTCAGGCTACATCAGGGTTGGGTAACTAAAGGCTACCATCCCATGACTTACCAATGGACTGTATCACAACATAATTGCTATCTACCTTTTTTACATTAAAATCTGTTCAAAAGTTTATTTAAAAATATTTTCAAATTATGTTTTTATTAAGTTTATATAATTATTTACATTAATAGATGTTCAGATAGTTTCCTCATTGTTTCCCTTCCTTACACAAAGAAAAATGTGAGTTGCTTACAAAACTACAGCAGCACAAGTTATATGATTATGTCTATTTGCTTTATACTGTTGTCCGTTTGTTCCCTAGTGGGTAAAACCTCCAACCATTGTGTCGTGATGGCCAAGCTGAACCTAGATGGGAGAGACTGTGGTATGCAGTCCTTTATTGTGCCAATCAGAGATGTGGACACACACCTGCCCTTACCTGGTGAGTACCCCTACACTAACGCCATGTTCTAACATGGTGTACTGACATGACATGGGGTAGAGGTTGTTTACCTGACCCTGCTCTTTCTTCACAGGTGTCTCAGTGGGGGACATTGGTCCCAAGTTTGGCTACGGTGGCATGGACAATGGGTTTTTAATTTTAAAGAATGTCAGGATCCCTCGGGAGAATATGTTAATGAGATACGCACAGGTAAGAAAAAAACAACCTGTGTTTTTTTAATTCTTAAAAACAAGCTTTAAATATTTTTAGAATTCTGTAGATCTTCTAAGTACTAAACTTTCTTAGGCTATGCATGTAACATGGAGAAAAATTAAATTTTGTGAAACAAACGTCCCCAGGTTCAGGAAGATGGCACATTTGTCTCCCCTAAAAATTTAATTCTGTGTAACAAATGTCCCCAGGTTCAGGAAGATGGCACATTTGTCTCCCCTAAAAATGACAAACTGGTCTACGGCTCAATGACTTTAATTCGTGCCCAGCTGGTGGGGAGCTGCGCCAGGGCCTTGTCAAAAGCTGTCACCATAGCAACCAGATACAGCGCTGTTAGGAAACAATCTGAGATTAATCCTGGGTAATTATATCTTTTTAAAAAACATTCTTCCATTTACAACACAGGGAAGTTAATTGCAGAAAATTATATTTAATTATTTATTTAATGATTAGTATAAAAATAAATTATCATTGACTTTGAGATAGGTTGAAAATAAAATAAAAAGTTAATGTTTCAGGGCTGGAGAGGTGCAAGTGCTGGACTTCCAGACCCAGCAGCACCGCCTGTTTGTCCAGATTGCCACAGCCTATGCCCTGAGTATTGCTGGCCGAGCGTCTATTGCAGCCTACAACAGGGTGTCTGCACAGATTGAAACTGGTGCTCTTGAAGAACTGCCCATTGTAAGACTCTGTTGTCATGTGACCATTACATTTTTTTTTAAACTCAAAATTCAATAAAATTAATTGCTTTAGCTCCACACCCTGTCTTCTAAAAAAGTTAAGTTCCTAATTAGATCTAGCGATCCATTGGGCAGGTGAAGTAGAGTTCATATGTATCTTGACCTCGTCATATGAAGGGATAATGTGGTCAGCACTTTGCACAGCCACTGTTAAATTCCCTAATGTGAGTTAGGTACCCATGAGAGCTGGGTAAACTCAGGGACGTTTCACTGACATAAACCAGGATTCGAACTGTGACTTTTGGGTTAGCAGTTTAGCATTCTACGGCTAGGCCACATCATCCCACACACTGTCTACTGATGTTGTTTCTCCTGTTTTAGCTCCATGCCCTGTCTGCTGCCCTATAATTCTGATGATGTTTCTCCTGTTTTAGCTCCATGCCCCTGCCCTATAATTCTGATGTTGTTCCTCCTGTTTTAGGTCCATGCCCCATGCACTATAATTCTGATGTTGTTCCTCCTGTTTTAGGTCCATGCCCCATGCACTATAATTCTGATGTTGTTCCTCCTGTTTTAGGTCCATGCCCCATGCACTATAATTCTGATGTTGTTCCTCCTGTTTTAGGTCCATGCCCCATGCACTATAATTCTGATGTTGTTCCTCCTGTTTTAGGTCCATGCCCCATGCACTATAATTCTGATGTTGTTCCTCCTGTTTTAGGTCCATGCCCCATGCACTATAATTCTGATGTTGTTCCTCCTGTTTTAGGTCCATGCCCCATGCACTATAATTCTGATGTTGTTCCTCCTGTTTTAGGTCCATGCCCCATGCACTATAATTCTGATGTTGTTCCTCCTGTTTTAGGTCCATGCCCCATGCACTATAATTCTGATGTTGTTCCTCCTGTTTTAGGTCCATGCCCCATGCACTATAATTCTGATGTTGTTCCTCCTGTTTTAGGTCCATGCCCCATGCACTATAATTCTGATGTTGTTCCTCCTGTTTTAGGTCCATGCCCCATGCACTATAATTCTGATGTTGTTCCTCCTGTTTTAGGTCCATGCCCCATGCACTATAATTCTGATGTTGTTCCTCCTGTTTTAGCTCCCTGTCTGCTGCCCTATAATTCTGATGTTTCTCCTGTTTTAGCTCCATGCCCTGTCTGCCGCTCTGAAAGCTTTCAGCTCCTGGGAAATGGCCTATGGTGTTGAGCAGTGTAGGTTGGCCTGTGGTGGCCACGGTTATTCTCTGGCCAGTGGCCTGCCTAAAATTTACGCACATGAGGTGCCAGCGTGTACGTATGAGGGAGAGAACACGGTCCTGTGTTTACAAACAGCCAGGTGTGTACACTTTTTTTTTACTGCCCAGGATAAACATACACATTACATTTTTGTACTGCCCAGGATAAATATACACATTACATTTTTTAAATTAAATGCCCAGGATAAACATACACATTACATTTTTTACTGCCCATGTAAACATACACATTACATTTTTTACTGCCCAGGATAAACATACACATTACATTTTTTTACTGCCCAGGATAAACATACACATTACATTTTTTACTGCCCAGGATAAACATACACATTACATTTTTTCACTGCCCAGGATAAACATACACATAACATTTTTTTACTGCCCAGGATAAACATACACATTACATTTTTTTTACTGCCCAGGATAAACATACACATTACATTTTTTTGTACTGCCCAGGATAAACATACACATTTTTTTACTGCCCATGGCAATGATTTAATTGTTAAATTTTCAACAAAAAAATAATCTTTTGGTGGAAGTTGTTTTGTTGTGTGAGTCCTCCAGTTATAGAGAGAAAACAATGTTACTGTTTTAATTTAACTCCCTGATCCTGACTTGATGGTAGCCAGATGTTTGTTGTCACTCTCCAGGTTCCTGATGAAATGCCAGGAGTCTGCCAGTAGAGGGGAAAAACTCCCAAGTTTTGTCAGATATTTAAACAACGCAAAAAATGTGACCAGCAAGTTGTCTCAAGATTTTAAATTGGAAGATTTGGTCGCAGCTTATGAGCATAGGGCAGGGAGGTAATTCATCATTGTAACGTTTCACTCTGCTATCATAGTGCATTCTGATTTGGCTATGCTAAAATATAACACAGATAGGCCTACCAGAAATTTATTTATTTAATTAGCCTATTTAGAAAGAATGCCGCCACTTTACAAATGCTATTGCTACAACAGAATGATTGCGGAGGCAAGTATTTATTTAATTAGCCTATTTAGAAAAAAAAAGAATGCCGCCACTTTACAAATGCTATTGCTACAACAGAATGATTGCGGAGGCGAGTAAGAGAATCCAAGACCAACTTGCACTGGGGCTGAAACCTGCAGAAGCTTGGAACATGTCGTCTCAAAAGTTGGTTGATGCTACCATTGTAAGGCTTATGTTGTTTTTTTAATTTTACATCATTCATTGCATATGCATAGAATTATTAGTTTTGTACCTCTTAATCTGAAGATTTGACATTTTTTTTTTAGAATGTATATAATTATTGATTGTTTACTTGTTAACGTTTTAAATTTATTTATGTTTTGTTGTTTTAAAAAGAAAATTTGATTTCAGGCATTCACACATGCTTTTGTGGTGAAAGCATTTATACAAACAGTTTCAGCAGCCAAATTTGAGCCTTCCCTGGCCACAGTTATGCAGCAACTTTGCCAGTTGTATGCTCTCTATGGAATCACTAAATACTCAGGACAATTTGCTCAGGTCAGTTTTAACTGACTGATTGACATGTATGTCATCAGTATTTTGATAGATAAAGTGAAAAATTTAAATTATATTTAACAGAATCAACAAAATTATAATCTTTTATGGAATATTTAATTTTTATACAACTAAATTACATGAAACACAATCAACTAAATTATAATCTTACATTTCTTATGGAATAATCAATTTATTTATTTAAAATTTGTGCTTAAAGGTACACGATTTAAAAATCTATATTATACCACAAAAAAATGTCAAATATTTTTATGAAAATTTTTTTTGCTTGACCTCTCCAGGGGGGTTACCTAAGTGACCAGCAGCTGGACTTGGTAGAGAAGAAACTCTACGACCTACTGGCATCTCTTAAACCCAACGCTGTCGCTCTGGTGGATGCCTTTGATTTCCCTGACTGTGTCCTTGACAGCGACCTTGGCCGGTATGACGGCAATGTTTATGAAGCCCTGATGGAGTTTGCCAGAAGATCTAAGCTGAATAAATCTGAGGTAAAGTGTTTTTATAGCAGTATAAATCTGAGGTAAAGTATTTTTATAGCAGTATTTAACCCAGAACATCATCGAATAGACCAAAAACTATATGAAATATGTGGTAGTTTTAAGAGATCTAAGCTCAATAAATCTGAGGTAAAGTATTTTTCTAGCAGTATAAATCTGAGGTAAAGTATTTTTCTACCAGTATAAATCTGAGGTAAAGTATTTTTCTAGCAGTATTTAACCCAGAACATCATCGAATAGACCAAAAACTATATTAAATATGTGGTAGTTTTGTCAGAAGATCTAAGCTCAATAAATCTGAGGTAAAGTATTTTTCTAGCAGTATAAATCTGAGGTAAAGTATTTTTCTACCAGTATAAATCTGAGGTAAAGTATTTTTCTAGCAGTATTTAACCCAGAACATCATCGAATAGACCAAAAACTATATTAAATATGTGGTAGTTTTAAGAGAAGATCTAAGCTGAATAAATCTGAGGTAAAGTATTCTTCTAGCAGTATTTAAGCAGAACAGCTTTGAATAGACCAAAACCTATATTAAATATGTGGTAGTTTTGCGAGTTGTACAGCATTACTAGAAGTCTTGAAACATTTATGGTGTCTCTAAAGTAACTATGACTAGTTTAACCAGATAATGGTGTGCCAGTTTTGGACTTGGTTTACTCCTTAAAACCTAGTTTAACCCCTTACAACCTAATCCTATTGAAACAAGTTTAAACCCTTACAACCTAATCATGTTGAAACTAGTTTAAACCCTTACAACCTAATCATGTTGTAGTTTAAACCCTTACAACCTAATCATGTTGAAACTAGTTTAACCCCTTACAACCTAATCATGTTGAAACTAGTTTAAACCCTTACAACCTAATCATGTTGTAGTTTAAACCCTTACAACCTAATCATGTTGAAACAAGGTTAACCCCTTACAACCTAATCATGTTGTAGTTTAAACCCTTACAACCTAATCATGTTGAAACTAGTTTAACCCCTTACAACCTAATCATGTTGAAACAAGGTTAACCCCTTACAACCTAATCATGTTGAAACAAGGTTAACCCCTTACAACCTAATCATGTTGAAACAAGGTTAACCCCTTACAACCTAATCATGTTGAAACAAGGTTAACCCCTTACAATCTAATCATGTTGAAACTAGTTTAACCCCTTACAACCTAATCATGTTGGGACTAGGTTAACCCCTTACATTCCAATAAGCTAGAAAGTTTAATTATACAAATCCTTAAAAATTAAAACTAAAAACCATGTACTACTGCAAAAATGTTACCCAATTTTTTGTTATTTTAAGAAATATTTGTTGAGACTATGACGAGTTAACCAGGTGAGTTAACCGGGTAGATTTATTTTTCTCCTCCAGGTCCACGAAGGCTTCTACAAGTACCAGAAACCTTTTGTTGATTCCCTAAAAGCCCAGTCCAAGTTGTAGAAGTCCCACCTGTTGCTGACATCTTTTGTTTCGTTGCTGGTCAAATTGACGCAAATTATATCGTTAAACATTATTTTAGCTCAATATTTTTATGATTCAGAGACCTGTTTCATCATTCAGGAAACTCTCAATTCAAATGTTCATGAAATGTGATTTATTTGTATTTTTGAGAATTTTTTTTGTGGCTTTAAGATTGAAATTGTTACATACCGGTAATCAGTAGATTTACTCGTTTGTTGGTCATTATATTTTATTTATCTATCATTTTATGAGGTGATTAGGTCCTATAAGTGGGCCCTAGAATCATTTTGAAAGATTTTTTTAAAGTAATATTTCAGAGATCTTCGTACAGATTTTTTTACAACACAGACAATTATTTAGTCCATCCATTATTCCATAAGAGTTAGGGCTATTAATAGTATTAATTTTCCTTTACCCAATCAGAGTAAGCAGTCGTTTGTAATTTATTTCCAATAATAAAATATATATCTTGCTTAATCAGTTTCTTTCAGGATTTCCATCATTTTAATTCATTAGCTTTCATATTGTAAACAGTCATGATTTTTTAACAAAATTATTCAAATAAAAAAGATTTGTTATCACAGTTAATCACCCAGGCTTTATGGATGTACACCATTATTTATTAAGTTTGGGATAAATATTTGACTGCGCAGAAAAAAGCGTTTTTTATATTTTGTTGAACCAAAACGGATTTGGGTCCATATACACTAGCTGTGATAACCAATATTGGAGCTCTTGTATACTGTTATGTCAATAAAATATGGGATGCTATCTGCCGTAACCAGTTATTTGTGTTACTGTAAGGGTGTTGTGTGATTTGTTTTACTGTAAGTGTAAGGGTGTTGTGTGATTTGTTTTACTGTAAGTGTAAGGGTGTTGTGTGATTTGTTTTACTGTAAGTGTAAGGGTGTTGTGTGATTTGTTTTACTGTAAGTGTAAGGGTGTTGTGTGATTTGTTTTACTGTAAGTGTAAGGGTGTTGTGTGATTTGTTTTACTGTAAGTGTAAGGGTGTTGTGTGATTTGTTTTACTGTAAGTGTAAGGGTGTTGTGTGATTTGTTTTACTGTAAGTGTAAGGGTGTTGTGTGATTTGTTTTACTGTAAGTGTAAGGGTGTTGTGTGATTTGTTTTACTGTAAGTGTAAGGGTGTTGTGTGATTTGTTTTACTGTAAGTGTAAGGGTGTTGTGTGATTTGTTTTACTGTAAGTGTAAGGGTGTTGTGTGATTTGTTTTACTGTAAGTGTAAGGGTGTTGTGTGATTTGTTTTACTGTAAGTGTAAGGGTGTTGTGTGATTTGTTTTACTGTAAGTGTAAGGGTGTTGTGTGATTTGTTTTACTGTAAGTGTAAGGGTGTTGTGTGATTTGTTTTACTGTAAGGGTGTTGTGTGTGTTTGTTTTACTGTAAGGGTGTTGTGTGTTTGAAGGTTTGGTGTACAGTAAAGCAGTAAAAAGAAAGGCTATTTAGCAGCAAGCGGAGTTTTTATCCCAGAGTTTTATTGCTGTAGGATGGTGACAGGCTGCTACTTACTTGCAATATAATTAGGGGAACTAATTATAATTAAAATTTAAAACTACTCATTATTGATCACTGATGACCTTGAATCAAAAAATAATTTCTTCGTACCTGTGTCACTTCGGAATATCGTTAACCCTTTAGTCTAGAAATGCTGTTTTACTGAAATAACTGGAACTAGGTTAACCCTAATCTAGTAATATTGTTACTAAAGTGACTGGATTTTGTTTAACCCATTACATCCTGGTAGTTTTATGTCACTGAAATAATAAACTGGATTAACCCTTTGCAGACCGGTGACATTGTTTCAATAAAGAAAAGGACATGGTGTTTGTGGATGATGAGAAGATAACTCTGGTAGATTTATTTCTATTCTTCTCAAGGGCCATGAAAGTAGTGTTTCTTTCAGTTATTTTTTTCTCTGGCCCCACCCCCAGTTATAGATCCCATATCTTTGTATACAAAGTTAAATCAAAATGTATTTCCCTCGCGTTTTTGTTACATCACACAAATGTTTTTAAACTAAAGCAAACCTAAGAAAAGTAAAATAAAATTCTTCTTTATTTCAATCCTGTTCATCACTGCTAATATCAGAATCATTTACAACTTCATCACTTTTCTCTGTGACATACTGTTTAGCATTATCGTCATGCTTTTCATCACCTCCATTTTTCTCATTATCGTTTCTCATTACACCATCACTTGTACCATCGTTAATACCATCGTTAATGCCACCATTGATACCATCATTAAATCTTTCACCTGGGTTGTAGTTATATTCAGCCAAGGGATTTGAACCCAAGGACATCACCACATGATCAGGTATGTCCGTGTTAAGTATCAGGTCCCCCAGACCATCATGCCCTTCTCTGCCCAGGTCCCCCAGACCATCATGCCCGTCTCTGCCCAGGTCTTCCAGACCATCATGCCCGTCTCTGCCCAGGTCTTCCAGACCATCATGCCCGTCTCTGCCCAGGTCAGCCTGACCATCATACCCCAGGATAGCAAGGTCCCCCAGCTCATGATGCATCTCCCTGCCCAGAAGGTACAGCAGAAGCCTCAAGCGCTGCACGTTGGTGAAGTCCCTCTGGTACCTGACGTTGTCCAGCACTGACCTCATTTGTCCAACACGACCTGGGGATAGAGAGGTCAAGGTCGTCAATAGCTACTTTTTGGTTGGTTGTCTGGGGTATGGTTAGGTTTCAATAGGTTGTGGAATACCCCTTGATGCCCCTGGACCCCTAAACCCCCATGGATGCCCATGGTTCCCTCAATCCCCTAGATACCCCTGGACTAAAAGACTCCCATAAATACCCCTGGACCCCCCAGTTTCCCTAGATGACCCTGGTCCCCCCAGACCCCCAGACTCCCCTAGATGCCATCATATCACACTGTACCAGAGTCAGGTAACCACACGACACACATGTCCGCCACACTGACCATGTCTCCTGTGTACCGGAAGTCCTGGCCCTACCAGCCTCGAGAGGGTGTTGTACCTCGGGAGCCGCGCCCTGTTCTGGCCCTCGCCTGTGGTGATGTAAAGAAACAATCAACGCGGGCTGCAAACGTCACACAACAACAGCACCTCTAGGGCCATCACTGGTGACGTGGACGCTAGTTTTTTGCTGATCTGATACATCAACAGTTTCTTCCAGGTATCTCTTCGGGGGGGGGGGGGAGGGGCAGAACCCCCTCGAAGAAAGTCTACCGCCCCCCCCCCCCCAACGGATTTTATATAGAAAATATATACTTTTAACAGTGACCCTCAGACGGGTAGCGAGGGGGGGGGGGCATATGTCCCCGGGCGCCGACCTTACGGGGGCGGTGCCAAATTGAAAGTTTGAGGGGGGGGGTGCAAATCGAAAAGTTTGAGGGGGGGGGTGCAAATGAAAAGTTCGAGGGTGAGGTGCAAATCGAAAGTTTGTCCCCGGGCGCCGGGAAGGGTCGCTACGCCTCTGTTGACCCTTTTCTGATGTCAAGACATTTGCATATTTGAACGCACGCCATAAAAACAACTTTTCCTCCTCCAAGGTTAGGGTAGGGTTAAAAACTAAAAGTTTCATATCCTCTTTTTTATAACTTTTTTTTTTTGTGGTTGGGGTTAACATATTGGCGTGGCTTATCTGGACAAGGTTCATCCAAACTTCACCAACCATCTGACCATAAACCTAACCCTGTCTAAGCTACAAACAAACCTGATTCCCACTCCTCCTCACTCTCCCCTCCCCTTGGACCGGCGTGGGAAAATTTTCTAGCAGGTCCAATCGCCGTTTGTTTCTCTCCGGTTACGGTGTTTACGTCCCTTGGTTTGTCACCGAAGATTTGCTCCCCTTTTACGAATTCTTTTGCTGTGGTTGTCTCCCTTACTCGCGGCGACGGAGTTGTCCTTCTTAGAGTTGACGTGACAAGATGTGACCTTGAAAATGGCGTGGCGGGTGTCTGTCTAGGCGTCGCCTCGGTTTGGGAAGTGGTGGTCGTGCCGGAAGTACTGAGGATCGTAAACAAGTGCTCTGCGCATGTGTCGCAGCAGTTTTCCCGCGCATAATCGGCGTCGTAGCTCGTGCACTGATCTCTCTGGCAAACTTCGAACAGGTCGCCGTACTCACATCCTACAGGCAGGGGGGGGGGGGAGGTTTTTAAAATGAGTTTTAGATTTAATTAGATTTTTTTTACTGCAGTTTAAGAGTTGTTGTAATGCAAGAATAGTATTACACAAATTATGACACCCCCCCCCCCACCTCCACAATAAACTCGGAACGTACTCAATAAAAAATGAGTCATTTATTGAATTCATTATTACATTTCACTCTATGCCCGTTAGCTATTGCCCTAAATCAGGGGTCTCCAAACTACGGCCCGCGGGCCGGGTGCGGCCCGCGATGTCCTCTCATCCGGCCCGCGGAGATCTTTTCGTCCACGGAAAAAACGTTTGTTGGCGATGGCTGAGGAACTTTACCTAGAAAAATCAAAGACATGCCTGGAAGAAACTGGCCCCCAAACTAAAATTTGATAGTTAATGCGGCCCTCGGACTGAAAAGTTTGGAGACCCCTGCCCTAAATACAAGCTACCGAACACATGGATTACATCCCTTGATCTTATACCGGCAACGTATAGAACTTCATATAGGTTATAGGTTAGTTTTAACTAACACCTTCATGTGCCCCATCTCCAAGTATTTCTTTCAGAGCACATAGTCCCTAAGTCCCAAGCCTTTCCCCCACACTCTGCCACAATCCCACCCCCCCCCACACACGTGAGTACTGACTTAGAAGATCACGTCTGTGAGCCCCCTGACCCCTCTGCCCACCACCCACACACCCCGTGAGTACTGACCCGGAAGATCACGTTTGTGAGCCTTGCACGAGGCGCAACATTTCGCCCTGAACGTGTCCCTGTAGCAGTCAGAGCGTGACGTCAACATCCGGTCTGCACAGGACTGGCCTTGAACTTGACCAGGGTCATCTCCGTACGGGCAGTCGTCACCTACAGAATGGGAGACAACTTTAAACTCTTCACACTTCACACACAAAAATGTTAAATTCTAATCTTAGCTTTACATTAGGGCAAAAAAATAAGTTGTAGTGATTGGTCAACCCTGACAACAAATCAACAAGTTTAACTGCTAAATTTTTACATGTTAACTAAAATGGGTAAGTTGAATTTTAAGGGTGATCCTTAAATAACATCGCACACTTGGGGGTGGGGAGGTTGGACAATGCTTGAGGTTGTATCTGACTGTCTGTGTCAAGAAAGTAGACGTCTGGCTTTTGCATACAAAAGTATTTTTAAATATGTATTTAGCAATTTTATATATATTTTAACTGCACCTTTTTTGTAGTGTCATTAAATTTATTAATGAATGTAATTTTTCCACGATTTACAATTTTTTTAATTTGCGTACAAGGGGAAACAACTCAATTAATATTTTCTATAAAATCTTCCAAGCAAGGTTTTATCCCCTGAAGTAAATGTTACAAAAAAATAATGGCTGTTGCGGGTGGGAAGGTGGTAAAAGCTGCTCTAAAAAAAAAGCGCGACCTAGTTTATTTAATTTAAAAAAATGCGGGGATTATTTTTGACGACTGACCTTCTGTAGTTGGCGCCATCTCCGACTGCTGGCATGTGCCGTTGATACACCACTGAGGGAGAAAGAAGGAAATCATCAATTTTTGGATTCACACATCACAGTTTTACAACACCGTCTAATCACAGTTTTACAACACCGTCTAATCACACACCACATTTTTACAACACGCCCTAATCATACA